ATCATTAGCAAAGGCTCGATTAGCTGAAGCCAAGCAGCACACTTAAAGGTGGGGTAGGTAAGTTTCAGAAACCGGCTCGAGTGCACAAAAATTTGAAAGTACACAGCCGAAAAGAATCCGCCCCTTCCTTCAGACTTCCTTACAGAGCACCTCTTCCAACACACATGAACGCGCACATGACGTCAGCAGACTGGTGAAAGTGGCCGCCTGTTGCTGGCGAGTCATTGAAGTACTGCTGCAATGCACGCCCAATGACGGCACGCCCAATGAGGGCACGAGATACATTTGTGCGTGCACGAGATGGAAGGCTGACAGACAGGTTTAGCCGGGCCGGCTAAACGGATTGGTTGTACTTTATACAGTACCACGGTTTCCACAGATGACATTTTATTATGGATTTTTTGTCAAAGCACTTAAGATATTCATTGCTATCGGGATGTTAAGAGCATTCCATGAAATATAACAAAAAGTGTATCTCGAGCCGGTTTCTGAAACTTACCTACCCCACCTTTAAGATGAAGACCTTTAGGTTTGTCATATCTTGATAGACAAGCAGGCAAACGCCTGGCAATACAAAAATATAAGTGACTACAATTCTGAAGAGAAGAACGCACAGTAATTTCTGTCTCCCAATTATGTTTCTTACTGGTTCATTTAGCGATAATGTTTTTCTATAATTGTAAAAAAACAGAGCTCATTCTTGACCTTGGAAATGGTAGTTTCTTATAACGTTCAAAATGTTTGGTTCATTTCTAGCAATTTCAAGAAATGTTTATGACTAATTTATTTAATTCCTTGTTAAGAGATTAATACCACTCTTATGTCTATACAATAAAGATTAAGCTAGTAGACAGTTAGCTCTGCTTAGCATAGAGACTTGAAACGGGGAAACAGCTAGCCTTGCTGTCTTATCCCAGCACCAATATGCTCAATAATTATTTATATTTAGTTTACTTAACTTCTAAAAAAGGTAAACAATTGAAAGTTGTGCTTTCGTAGGGGTGTTGTAGCAGACTATTTATTGGACATGTGCAGTCACTCCCTGCTTGTGAGGTTGCTAGGCAACCAGTGGAGACTATAGTAAGCCAACTGGCTGCCGCACACACACACACACACACACACACACACACACACACACACACAGAAAAGGTTAAAAAAAAAAGTCACCGTCACCATCATTCCTGATGAGGTGGTAGGTACCACAAAAGAAGAAGTTACAAACGCATAGGGAAGTGCACCGTGGTATCAATCATCTCATCTTACTCTGAAAGAAAGCGACTAGCGTATTTCCCAAAACGTTGAAATTGTCCTTTAACATCCAAGCCAACATTATGTGCTATGGATATATCATAATTGGTTAAGACCATGTGATTATGGTAGAAAGGTCTGAACAAAAATGAATAAGTCGACTTTGAGTCCGAATTGTTTGGTGGAAGTCAAACAAAATGTATTAAAAAAAGGCCTAACACAGGTTCCCAGAGCCCAAGCATACTTCCTTAAATTGATTGATTGACAGTATAATAATACAACAATATAAAACAGCTCAAATTGAGACGTTGAAGCATAGTTGTTGTAGGTTATCATTTTCCGCTGTCAGTTATAATAATGTCTCTGAGTAGAGGATATTTTTACTTGCGGAGTCTGAGGAAGTTGAAGTGTTCAACACAGTTGCCACGGTAATTTCCAGCCTTTGTTACCTGTCAGAGAAACCTATATTCATGGAAGGCATAATAACAGAAACAATCTGACGTTAGTGTACCACCTACCTCCACGCCAGGGTTTTCCGAGTTAGAGAAATTGCTCTCTAGTAAAGGTCAGGAGTGTTATAATGTATAACTTGCTTTATGATTCAGTGACTCAGTATATACTGTATTAGCCAGGAGTTATGTCAATAACTGACAGTTAAATTAAATCAATTACAATGCAATAAAATGTCAGCAATATTCATTGTCAGTTTTCCCAATTTGAACTGATGGGATTATAATTATCCTTCTGTAGTGATAACTAGTTTCTTTAAATCTCCTTTCAAGTTAAAATAACAGCTGCATTTCAAATTAAATACATAATAGTGAGCTTTAAAAATCCTTGGTTGAAGCAAATTAAGTAAATAATTAATAATAACAATTTAATTCATTACAAATGTTAACTGAATTTCATAATTAAATACTATAAATAATCTCAAAACATTGTAAAAATTGAACAGATTTTCTCCTTTTCTTTTTCTTTCACTTTTATAAATACCATTCCTCCACTTTCTCTTATTTACTGAGAGCAGTGAGTTTGTCCTGTGAGGATTTTAAATCTAATACTTGAATGAAGTTAGTCTGTCCATACCTATTTAAATTTCCATGTTCACTGTCTACTTGTCCCATTTTAGAGCGCCAAATGAAAAAGAATATCCTTTGTTTTTTTCCTTTCACTCATCTCATCTCTCACCTCCTGTATGTATCTCGCCTGATTTGATTATCGAAAGCATTGATTTGATTGGCTGAGATGATTTTCTACGAATCCATTGGTCTCTGGGAAAGTAAAGGTAAAAAACGTTGGCTATAGGTCAGGGTGTAGATAAGATCTGGTCTGGACTTAGATCCCAGTACGCTTCATCTCAGTGTGTTAAAGAATAGCGTTTCAAACCGAGAAAGCAATTGACTCTAATTGAGTGTTGTCTTTTTAAGCCTGTGTTATCAGGGTGCAGAGAGCAAACAGAGCCGGCATGGTGCCCGGGTCACAGAGGGAGCGAGAGCAACACTGCAGATTCCAGCTGCTTTAAATCGCATTGGTATGCACAGGAACTACGATGGGAGAATGTACTTATAGACAGTGTACTTACAGTCCGATGCAAACACATACTGAAACACCGGGGAAAACACACTTAGCCAAATGTGGACATGCCAAACAGAGAGGAAGACAAATCAAAACAAAGCATGCAAACACAAAAGAGATCCAGGGAATGAAGAAGACAGAGAGAATAGCACAGTCCCATCTGTCAAACAAATGTGAGGATGCTTCTCACACACACACACACACTCAAACACATGCACACACACGCAGCAGGCATCATTTAGTCTGAACTTGAGCGATATCTGCCTTTGTCCTTTAGCAGTTGGCCCTGAGGGGCCGCTGTAGAAGTTGCATGAAAGTTTGTTTAGGGCTGAGCAAGTGTGTTAAGCTTTATGAGTGCCCATGGGAGACATGCTGGCACACACACACACATACACAAACACATACACAAATGAATCTACTCGCACACACTCCGGCACGAGGCTTGGGCAGCAGTTTGCGCTGGCCCCAACCAACAGTGAGGAGTTTGTTGTCATAGCAACAGTAAAATGAGATGACTTTACTGTCAGCCGTAATGTTTCATGGCCCCCTTGCCGCTATGGCAACATAACAAGGAAGAGGAGATGGAGAGAAAGAGAGCATCTCTGCATTCCAGCGGACTCCTACCAGGAACAATGTCACTGCGATGCCCTTACTTCCTGCCTGAGAGAAACACACGGCGTGACAAGCCTGTCAAACACACGCATGAATACGCTCATAGAAAGGCACACACACCTTGAAAAGCCTGTCAAACACCCTCGCCCATCCCTTTGATTATGCGCTCACTATTTTCAGCTATCGTCGCCGGGGCAATTTGAATTCATTCTGCTCAATGTCAATATTGGTGCAACAACGGCATACCTCAGACAGGTACAGCTTGTTGAATGAGCGCACCTGCTGTCAAAAAGTGTGAGGAGTAGAAAGGGAGGAAGTGGAGGTGGGGGGATCAAAGACACGCTGCCGAGCGTTTCCCATCGCGGCGGAGAGAGTCGGATGGAGCAGCAGCACAGCAGCTATACACATTTCTATATTTAGCCCAGTCCTTCTCCAGCCTATCAGGCGCTGTTAGGCAGAGTTATCGGCTGTGGTAGGGAAAAAGTGAAAAGACGGGGGTGGATAGGTAGACACAGAGAAGAGAGACATAACCAGAGTTGTTTTGCTCTGTTGCCATGGTGACACTTCGAGCGGGGATGCTGCGAATTGACAGTTGTCACGGCACAGCGGGTTGCCAGGGGTGACATCTGTCAGTCAATCGCGTAGAGTGAGGGGACAGATCGGCCGATGATCACCTTGGATTAGAGGAAGATCGCACAACACGGCCCAGCGAGGACATATCTGGATTTAATCCCTGTGTGTGTTGTCTATGTATGTGTGTGTTCATGCTTTTAGACTTGAAACCTTTTTCTACCCCTGTCAGGACCTTTTTGTCCGAATTTGTGTGCATGCAAATGTAGGTTTTTCTTTCTGCGTGTCGGCGTGGTACATCCTATCGAGGATGTGTATTTGTGTCCAGATTCTGAAACGTGTGCACACAGGGCGAGGGTCCTTCTTCCCACAGCTGTCCCTACAGGTTCTTGCTGTGAGCCTTCTGAGCGTGGTGTGTGTTACTCGGACCCCGTCCCCGTCAATAACCGCTCTTCCTCTGCTAACGAGAACACAATTGCTCTTATGTTGGGAGAATATTGATGATTAGGAATTTAAAAGTTGTTCTTTCCTTTTTTTCTGGCAGATGTCTTAATTGTGAGGATGTGGTCATGGACAGGTTAAAGTTGATTCAGCACGCCTACCTTGGATATTTTCCTGTTATAGCGATGTCAAAGCGCTATTAGACCTTTACCAGGGTTCACATGTTATGACAGTAACCTTCGTGTAATGTCAATACTTTCCTGGTACGCTTGTAATTAGAGGGTAGTCGTACAAGGCAAGATTTCCTCAACCAATGAAGCACTAAATGTGCCGTTCTAGCCGGAACTGGGTATAGAGAAAAACGATGATGTATACTTTTCCCCTCAGATCTGCCTAATTGGGAATGTGGTCAAAATCTTGTTGCGTGTCTCCACCATTTGGCCTTTAAGAAAAAGTCTTTATGTGAGAAAGCTAAATGAATTTCACAAGCTGACCTCGTTTCTTTTTTCCTCTTTTTCTCTTTCCCTCTGTCCTACCCTTTTTCCTCTCTCCAGGAGTGAGCCCTGGGCTGGATGGGACCCACCATGCCCCCCAGTAAGAAGGCCCAAAGCCCCAGTAGTGGCGCCAGTGCCTCGCAGGGTATGAGCCCGCCGTACCGACAAGGGGACGCCGCCACGGCAGCATCCGAGGCCGAGGCAGCCGACCTCTCGCTGTCCCTGTCCGCCTCCTTCTCCAAGGCCGAGGACGAGGAGCTCACCAGCCTCTCCTGGCTCCACGAGAGCACCGACCTCCTCAACAGCTTCAGCCACTCGGGGCTTCGTAGCGTCTCCCCCCTGCAGGACCCCGACGGTCAGCACTCGCGCTCGCCCTCCTCCTCGTCTCCTTCCCTGGAAGACGCTTTGCTCGGCGACGCACATTCGTCGTACGACTTGGCGGCGGGAGCCAACAGAAAACCGCCGTACTCCTTCAGCTGCCTGATCTTCATGGCCATCGAGGACGCGCCAAACAAGCGGCTGCCGGTGAAGGATATCTACGGCTGGATCCTGGAGCACTTCCCTTACTTTGCAAGCGCCCCCACAGGCTGGAAGAACTCAGTGCGCCACAATCTGTCGCTCAACAAGTGCTTCAAGAAGGTGGACAAAGACCGGAGCCAGGTAAACACATCTGCAGTTGTGTGGAGAAATGTTGGATAATTTTCGCTCAAATGTAGGCTTTCACATGATACGCAACTTGTTCTTTGGTCACTGCGAGGTTGGGCGCAGAGCCTTGTTGTGAAAACAGTTGGTAAATGTTTGTTTCTATTGTTACGTACATAGTTTGTGATGCTTTAAACATCTGTCAAAAGGTCAGAGGACATTGAGGTCAAGGTTGAAATGATAAGGGTTGGCATTAGTGTTGGGTCACGGCAATGGCAGCGCAGAGCCGTTTTATGCTGATCTTGTGAAGTCGCCTTTAGGTATGGGTATTAACTTACTTTTGATTACCAAACAAAGTACTCAAGGTCCTAAAATGTATTCATCAAAAATATGATCCCGTAGAAGATTTGAGAAAATAGATGGTAACAATTTCTATCTTTGTCTACACAAGGTGTGTATCTTTTATTTACACAGCAAAACAAATCAAGAAACAACCATTGGAAAATGTTTCTCTCAACACTTATGTAACCTGTTTCTGTGTTAGTGTGAAGGTAAAAAAAAAAGAAAAGGCAAGTAAGGGTATTGCTTGTGTTTAACCACGAATAATGGTCAATTATGTTCTGAAAGTCCTCTACAATTGCTTTTTTTAAATATATTTTCTGACCTTATCAGAGAAAATTGCCAATTTGCAAAAGCTTTTGTATGACAGCCTTATACAAGAATCGATTGATTATTAAAGATTGTTTGGTTAAATTGATAATGTGTTTGTAGCAACAGCAAAACAAGTTGTTGTTTAAGGATCAAGGGTTGATCCCGAAACAGTGACATAATTACCGTCTTAAAAACATAGAAATAAAACCTGTGACCTAAATGCGTCCCCTTAAGGTAAAGGGCAGAATTAATGCTCCTCATTTTTACATCTTATCTGCTGGAGTCGATGTTAATTTTGTGATTCAGTCACACTTGAATTCCAAAATGTTCTCTGCCAAATGTGCATCATAATTTCTGAGCGCTCGGCCAAAGATTGTCAAAGTATTGTGTAAACATTTCAAAAGATAGCGAGTTGAGGACTGAGCAGCAGCAGCTTAGCTAACGCTAACTGAGCAGCAAATGTACAACACTTCTCCCTATACAAGGCCACTTTTGATCCAAGTATCCAGGTAATTAAGTTATTATCTCAAACACTATATGAGCTATTTGATCTGTCTTCTAAATGGACTCTTTGAAGATGACTTCCAAGTAAAATATGAAATTAAATACCGATAGCATATTTGTCAGTGGCACAATTAGGCCATCTTGGAACAAAGGATGTAGTCAACAACATTAAATCTTAGGTTTTAAAGCTCCCCTATTATACTGTTTTTCATCAATATATTATAGGTCTCAGATATACAAAACATGTCTCTGAAGTGTTTGGCTGGAAATACCAACAGATCATTGCAGCATTACCCATAATCCCCTCTGTTTCTGCCCTGTTTCAAAAGTGCTGATTCTCTGTCTGTTACTTTAGATGAAAATAAGGAGCCCCTCCCCTCTGAGAGATATTTGGTTAAAAAGAACACAATGGTGCTCTAGGAGGAGATTCAGGTGATAAGGTGGGGGGGGGGTGTTACCGGTTGGTGATTGGCTAATGGTTACACAAGACAAAACATCGTTATGACATCATAAAGTGGCCAAAATCTGAAACATTCAGAATCTCTTTACACAGAGGGGACATATTTTTATGTATAAAAGACATGAAAAAGTGGATTTTGCATAATAGGTGACCTTTTTAAAGGGCTGCTTTTTAGGGTTTTCCCTTTCTTGTACTATGTCATAGGTTTTTGTGCATGTAAATGGTCTGCAAAGGCTAAAATCCCTAGCCGGCCAGCTACTGTATCCAATCACAGCAGACTGGGCCCTGGTTTCAGACAGAGGGAGAAAAGAGGTGCTGCAGCACAGGCAGTATGAGAAAAATAAAGAGCTTTTTGAACATTAAAGCATCTTAACACGTCACAGTAGAGGCACAGAATACAAATATGAATCTGAAATTAGCATAACATTCCCTTTTAATTTAATTTAATCAAAACATCAATATAAATTATTTCTGATTAAATATGCCTAATATTGATTCATTTGTTATTTATTGTTATTGTGTAGGGTTTTTTATTTTATTGTGAAAGTTCATTTTTGATAGTCCGTCCTCAAATATAGAACATTTCAAACATTGCCCCAATTCAAACCAAAGCAGGGATCATTTTGAAAAATTGCTTTTCATTTATCATATTTTCAACATTATTGAAATATGCCATAAGGTAAATACCTCCCATTAGTCACTCTATCATGTGTGCGTATAAGTTCTTTCACAGCCAGACAGTTATCAGCGGTTTGCAGGCATATCCAACTTGAAGTCAAACATATTCTTTATTTTGTCTACAGCTGTACCAGATTCGGCCTTATCAATAGTTGATGATCTCTGCTTTCATAGTTCTCTTTCCCTCAGACGTTGTGCGCTCCCCCAGTGGGAACAGCGTTTCACTTTTGATTTAAGTCTTGATACAGTCTTTTATAGCGGCTCCCCTATCCAGATTTTCCCTCCATTAAATACTCCGGGTAAACGGGGAATTAATCCCTCACTCAATTAGTGCAAATTAATACTGGAGGATTTATAACACAGATGCCAGCAGACTTTAGATGTCCTCTTGCCCGGGGGTGTTGGGGGTTGTGGGGGGGGGGGGAGACAAACAGCGAGGATCAATGCTGGCTTTGCTAGTTTAGCTGATTGAGATTATACCGGTGGATATGAGAGCTCTTTAGGCCTTGACCAGCGTGTGAACCGAAGTGTGTGTGTGTGTTGTGTGTGTGTGTGTGTGTGTGTGTGTGTGTGTGTGTGTGTGGTGTGTGATGTGTGTGTGTGTGTGTGTGTTGTGTGTGTGTGTAGTGTGTGTGTGTGTGTGTGTGTGTGTGTGTGTGTGTGTGTGTGTGGTGTGTGTGTGTGTGTGTGTGTGTGTGTGTGTTGTGTGTTGTGGTGTGTGTGTGTGTGATGGTGGTGTGTGTGTAGGTGTGTGTGTGTAGTGTGTGTGTGTGTGTGTGTGTGTGTGTGTGTGTGTTGTGTGTGTGTGTGTGTTGTGTGTGTGTGTGTGTGTGTGTGTGTGTGTGTGTGTGTGTGACACAATAGTTGTGATGCCACCCTCCCGCTCTGCTGTCCTCTGGCCCTTGATCTACAACGCCTGCAGCGTTTCTCTTGTCTCCATATCGCCATAGTAACTAGGTTGCAGTTGACATAAAAGTATGCTGTTGCTGTAGCAACGGGAAAACTGATTTGGCTTTACTGACTTAGGTGTGTGCAAGTGTATATGAGCTTTAGATGGACACTGAGGTGCTGAGTGGGGGAGAATTAGTGCATGTCCTCATTCTGTGTTATATGCATTTATGTACGTGTGTGTGTGTGTGGTGTGTGTGTGTGTGTGTGTGTGTGTGTGTGTGTGTGTGTGTGTGTGTGCAGCAGCTTGTGTAGAGGTGATTTTGGCAAGGACAGCCTGTCTTGTCTTCCTGTCGCTGCACACCGTTTAAGACAGCACGCTAATTAACCCTTCAAACCTATTCCCCTTTTTCTCTCTCTTGCACACACACACACACACACACACACACACACACACACACACTCTCAAGCATGCATGAATGCTCAAAAAGGACTCACACATGCACGGTGTGGAAATGAGGGCACATCTCTGCAGACTCCTACTCTACCTGCCAAGCGCCGTGCTTTATCTGAAGCTGCAATTACAGAATCTCTGTAATTTCAGTCAGACTCTGCCATTCAAAGCTTTTTACTTAGAATATCATGTGCATGCTTCTTCTTCTCCACCCAACCCCCCCGGCTCTGGCTTGTTCCTTTACCTGTTTATGTCTATTTGATTTGAGCGTGCAATTACGGCGTCTGACATTTTTTTATGTTGGATTATGTGTAGCTCAAGTTATCGTAGTGAGTGATAGATATAGACACACACACAGAAAGAGGTGGAAGCAGGGAGACGGTAAACGCACCAAATCATATTTCCATCAATTTACAGAGGTGGAGATTAATATGACAGTGGCCTATTTGTTCCAGTCACTGTATTTCTGGGTCATATCCAGGCAGATGACAAGATGGGGGACTAGTTTAGAATAGGCTCACTGCTCAGTTCATGTGTGTGAGTGTGAGTGTGAGTGAGGGCAAAGTTGCAGGAGAGAGCGTGAGAGAGTGTGCGTTCCACGGTTGCCATGGCTTTGTTTACTAACAGGATTCTTCCCCTGTGCAGAATGACATGCCTTTAATGACAAGTGTTGTTGCCCTCAGACTTCTGGATCACTGCTGAAGATCAGTGTCGTAAAAGCACAACACACACACACACACACACACACACACACACACTCGCAGTGATATATTTCTCAAAGCCTCTTATGAAATCAGAGGAGAGACAACAGGCGGTTTTGTAATCTAAGACTCGCTATGAAGTCTCTCGGTGCTACACTTAAGTGTGTCACCTCTAACTTAACCTTGCCCCGCTCACATGAGGCGCCCTTGATACTTTTTCGCGTTTTAACTGGCAGTGCTATGAGCTGTAGCGTCTGGAGTGAGCTTTGATTTGTCTTTGCCTCAGGTGTTGTTTTTTGTAACGCTCATTCATCAGCAGGTCGCTGCAGCGGATGTATCTCATTTTACTGTGTTTGCTCAAAATACACATGGTACATCTTAAGGTTAACTTTTTTGTTTGTTTTGAGTTGTAGAATGCATGCGGAAGAATACTTGCATACAATTAACAAAGACTCTGAATGAATGAGAAATTAGGCAAATGCTTGTGGGCTTTTCCGCCAGGGGTCGCTGTATACCTAAAACCGCCAACGGGTCAAATGTACCCGCTGTTAGAATGCATTGATTTTCAAGGTACAATGTTATTTTATTTATCATACTAGAATACAGGGTTAACAGTGAGTTTTGATCGCACATTGATGAAACTTAAACCAATAGAATATAATAGAATATGATATCTAGTGTG